GACGATACATAAATTAAATTACTTTAGAAGAATGCAATGGTGTATATTTGGACAATCTTAGACTGATATTTTAGAAGCATTTTTAACCATATCATGAAAAATTATAGTTATAAAAATTATTATCTTTATCAGTTTAATCTAAAGTAGATTGCTTTGCCATTTAGAAAATTTATAAATGGTAGCAGAAGATAAACAGACATACAAGATTCCATTAATATTAACATCTAATTAGGCTTTTTATTATCCTTTTTTAACATCCCATAGACGGATAGACTTATCATAACTACCAGAAGCTAATGTATTTCCATCAGAAGAGAAACAGACTGAGTTAATCAACTACTATGAACTAAGAATTTCAAAAATTCTATTATTCTTACCACTTGATATATTTTTTAAATGATATATTATCTAGTTCCAGTGTAGAATTCATTAATAGAATGAAAATCATGCTTTATTATGATGTTGATTAAACGAGTAATTTAATTAATAGTCTATTCAAAAGCATCTAATTATTTTTATTTTTACAAAAGAGATAAATTTCCAATTTAATTATTATTCTATGCATAGTTTTACTTGAGAATTTTTAGAAACTCCAAGCAATCCTAATTTTGATTCTCTTCTTTTGACAATATTTCGATTATAATATTGAATATTTATGTATCAAAATTTTTTGAATGAACTAAAACCTTATATAAATCTGCTGCAATCTAGAACTCTTAGATTGATTTATGGGAAAATTAAAATTAGCACCTTTTTATTAGAAAAGTGAGCAACTTCTAATATCTTTTTTATTAGCTCCGTTTTAATCATCATAATGAAAAAATTCATTTAGCGATTGGTCTTCTGTTCTTTCATTTTAATATAAAATCCTTGCTACATATATTAAACTTATGTCATTTCATTCTTACTCATTGTTTTTGCAAATCTAATTTAGTATTCTAATAGATCATGCATAAAACGATCAGCATATATAGATTATTCTAAGTTTCTCAGTTTTTCGATTTATTTCAAGTAGTAATAATTGATAAATTCTCAATAAAAGTCATAAAAGTCAGAAATTGTAAGATTGTGTTCTTTTAATGCATCATTACCAATTTAGAGTATTTTTTCCTATTAAATTTTTATTTTCTTTAATATCTAATTTGGTAGCAAAAGATTAGTTTCAAATATATTTTCAAGTTATTAATGCACTCCCTCACAATCCTAAGAGATTTACAATTATTAAGGTATCGAATTTTCTTCCTAATAATTCCAAACTCCAAGAGCAATTTCATGGTAATCAATAATTCCCAAGTTTGATAAATCATTTAGAGTAACTTCCAAGAATTCATCATTATCAGCTTAATTTTCCGCTTCAGATTCTTTATTAAGTTCATTTTTTAATCCTAAAAGATACCTTTTCTGTTGCGATTTATACATCTGAATTTTGTATTTACTTATGAAGAATTCATTCAACATCTTTTAAAAATTCTTCAAGAAGGTTTATTTAATGTTAATAATCTCAGTTGCTTTAAGAATCAAGTTGGGCATAAACTATAATTTCCATCATTTATGGAGTTTCCACTAAATTATTTAGATTTACTGACTATCATCATATCTTCATACTTTTTAAAACTCCATTATTTTTGTAAATTTATGCTCAAGCTTCTTATAGCTTCATTGCTTTTTAAATCAATAAACTCATCATCCTTCAAAAATTAAAAAATACTGTTGATTTATTTTCATTCAAAGGAGTCTCAGATTTCCACCTTGCTTCTTCGAATTTCAAAAATGATGACTATATCTTTTCCCAACTCTGTTCAAACCTTTTAACATCCAGAGCTTTTTAGTTTTAAGTTTATATATACCATTTATGTATATCAAAAAAATTAATATTTTAATACTTTAAAACGTAAATTTCTTAAGATATTCTTATATTTAACTCTATTCAAACTGAAGTAGCTAGGTTTCTTTAAATTTCTATTTATCTTAATGGCTGCTAGTAAAAATGTCACTTCTGGTGGAAAAAATAACAAGAGGGTCTGACCAATATTATTTGAGCTTATTATTAATGTATAAATTTTTCTAAATATTCTCTAGCTTCATTTCATCATAACTGTCCATTATTAATATTAATCGGAATTCTTTCTTTTACAACATTTCTTTACATTCTTTCAATTAGAGATCATCAAATCCATAATCATCTTATTTAAGTGATTCCTCTACTGCTTAAAAAACAGGGTTTTTTAAAGAGGGTAATGAAATATAAACAGGTATAAGTACATAATTTCCAATTTTTTTATTACTATCATGCAATTTTCAAATAAACTCTTCAATTTTTTTTGGCTGTAGTACTTTTGCCGGATCCTGCTAATCCATAAATTAGCAATACTGTTTTCCCTTCATATAAAAACTCATTCACTTCTCCATCATTATCATTAAATTGATATAAATTCATCAAATTACTGATCTCATTTTTACCTCTGTCTTAAGTTTTTAATGGTATATAGATGGACTTAACATTTTTTTCTGCTGCTTCCTTCAATACTTTCCATTTTCTAATTTCAAGCTAACTGATTTTCCTCTCAAAAATTTAAGATCATTCCCTATGTTGTTGAGCTACTCTTTTATTTGATTTATTTTTCCCTCAACTCTTAGCAAACTTTTTCTAATATGATTTACAAAATCAGTTACCAATCTGAGTTATTAACCCATTTCGCTGATATTTTAAATGTATTCATCCAATTGCTGAGTTGTTTCATCCATTTCTTTCAAATATAGCTCTCTGTTGTTAAGATTTGCCTCCTGGGTAATTTATTCTTATAATTCATCAATTCTCTTCAGCATTTTTTACATTTCTTCTGCAATTCTATTATGTTAAGTCTACCAATCTTTCTAAAAAATTTACATCTATAAACTTATTAAATGTTAATTTTTCAATAAATTTCTAACTCTTTAATCTTTTTCTAAAACCCATAATTAAATTAGAGCTTTCTAACAAAATGAAATAATTGTATCTGTGAAGCAATTAGATGAAATAAAAACAATTGTAAAAATTAGACCCTATTTAATTTTCCACTCATCATTATTGTTAAAATCCTTATACTTTTGCTTCAACCCATCAAATAACCCTAATTTTTATTTTGATTCTAAATAATCTTCATCGTCTCCTCCTTCCTCTATTCCTTATAGGTATATTTTTTTTATTTTTTAAATGAGATATTCTTAATCAATTTCATTTTCTGAGGGTAAACACTTATACTTTCTTAATGTTACTTGTAGCTCAAAAATCATAAAGATTTGTTTATTCTGTTATATTATTATCAAATATTCTTTAAATGATTCATTTTACATCTATTATAAGTTAGCTTTTGTCTAAAGCGATTATTCAAATTTATTAATTTGATCTTAGAAACAATTACGAAAAATTTATATTATTTTCGTTTTAATCTCTTTTTTATAATCTTGAATTAGAATATAATTATTTCTAAACTATTTAACTTCTTCAAGTAATTAGGCTAATTGCTGCTTCTATTCTGCCATTTTTTTCTTTTATATTTTAACAACATTAATGATGATTTATAAATGTGTTTGAGATTTTTCGTCAAAACAATTATTAACAGTTTTTTTTTGGATATTCTCTTAATCCTTTTTATCATTTTAATATTATTAATTCTTCAATTAAATAGATTAATAATTCTTTTCATCTTGATTTTTTTCGTCTTAAATCTTTTTTATTCATTCTTCTTGCAAATTTATTAAATTGTTGAACAATCCTAAGATAAGTATTTTTAAAATTTATTAATTTTATGCAAAGGAATTATTCAAAACTTTAAACAACCTTAACGGTTTAATTGATAAATTATTTGAAATGTTCTATACTATTACATTGATTGTTTTTCTCAACAATTCTTAATTATTACAAAAATTTCTCATATTTTTCTTTTTTTTTAATCAAATCTAATTGATTAAATTTTTCATCTGTCACATTTTTAATTGATTCATCTATTGAAATATCTTCAATAATCTTCATTATTCTTTCTATTAGTGTAATAGAACTAGATTCCTCAATAAATTATTCTCCAAATTCATCCTGAATCAATTCTAAATCTATTAATTCTGAGTGAAAAATTTATTCCTCTATGTTTAATTTAAATAATAAGTATTCTATTGTCCCAGATGCATAGATAAATTATTTATTAAGTCGTCTTCAGTGACATTCAATTTCTTTAATTCAGGTATTATTTCTTTTTGATATAAGTTGTTGCCAGTGATAAATTATTAAGGATAATTGATAATTACATTAAGAAGAAACTAATTCAAATTGATGAAATCTGATAATTATTAAAATTCTTCTGATTTAAAAGCTAATATATTCTAAAATGGCTCCTTTAAGACAATTAATTGTAATTTCAACTTTGAATTTTTCAATTTTTAGTCAAATAATAATTAAAATGGTAACATAGAAGAAAATTATTATTTCATATTAAGAAATTCTTCATGTTAGGAAATTTCATCAAGTTTAAATTTCTATATTCTTTGTCCATCTGTTTTTACTCTTTCAAAAACATTATCAATTAATGTTTTTAAAAATGCATCAATAAATCTAAAATATATAAGTTTTCGAAAAGTCAACTTTCAGTAATCAAGATGCCAATTTAATTTAATTAGAGTGGTGGAATCCTAATGAGATGAAATTTAGGGATGTTTAAATTCACATCACAATTACTTAAGAAAATAACATCATTTATTCATCATAGGAAGGCATAATTTTGAGAAAGTATATCATCTTATTTTTGTTTTTAAAGGGAATAAATTTATGATAATCCAAATAATCAAGAAATTTTGCTTAACATGGAATAAATCTAACACCTTGAATGGTTAGGTGAATATGGAAAGAACAAAAGAAAATTAGGTAAATGGGTAGCAACATGGAATAAATCTCTTCTAATAGAAGGTGGCTACTATGTAGATGGATTAAAATAAGGTTTATGGACATAACCATTTACTAATTACTTTAGGTAAATATCAATAACCAAAGTAGCAAAGCTAAAGTATTTGAAAATGGATAATACTTTCATGATTAAAAATATGGAAGATGGCATTATATCTATAAAAATAAGAATATGTATTTTATAATAATAAATTAGCGGTGGTGGATCATATAACGCTTAAGGTGTGAAATATGGTAAATGGTTAGAAATAAGTGAGAAGTTCAATGATGATTCTTAATTAACTTATTGTGGTGAATATAAAAATGGTAAAAAAGTTGGTATTTGGGCTGTATTGTGGAACGATGATGACTCTTGGTATAATGGAGAATATAAAAATAAATTGATGTAAAAAATATTAAATAGTGAAATCTTGGTTTAGGGGTGGTGGATCATATGATGAAGAAGGGGATGGAATTAAGCAAGGAAATTGGTTAGAAGTGTCAGATCGATTTGATAATCATACTTAAGTAACATTTAAAGGTGAATATAAAAATGGTAAAAAAGTTGGAAATTGGCATATTTTCCATAGGCAGAATGGGAAAGGAAAATCAATTATGAAAATGTAAATTTTCTTAAATAAAGCAATATAGTGGCGGTGGATTATATAAAGAGGAAGAGATTAAGTAAGGTATTTGGGTGGAACTCTCAGATAGGTTTTATGATTTTTCATAGGTAAAGTATAATGGTTAATATAAACATGGGAAAAAAATTGGTAGATGGGATATTTTCTATGTAAAAGAAAAGATGTAAAAACAAATTATAAAGTAAATATTATTTTAGTGGTGGTGGATAATATGACGAAGAGGGTGATGAAACTAAGTTGGGTTTTTGGGTGGAAGTTTCGGATAGATTTTATTGTAATTCTAAAGTAACCTATCATGGATAATATAAAAATGGGAAAAAAATAGGTATGTGGAATATTTTGTTTAATTGGTAAGGAAATAAATAGATGTAACAAAATATTATGTAGTATATACGTTTTAGCGGTGGCGGATTATATGATAAAAGAGGTGATGGGATTAAGTAGGGTTATTGGATTGAAATATGGAATGGATTTTTTTATTAATCTTAAGTGACTTATAGTGGTTAATATAAAAATGATAAAAAGGTTGGAAGATGGGATATTTTGAATGAAGGAGATTAGATGTAACAAAATATTAAGTTAAGAATACCTTTCTTTAAGTGGTGGTGGTTCATATGATGAAGAAGGCAATGAGATTAAATTTGGAAGATGGATTGAGTTGGCAAATGATTTTTGGGATTTTGGTTAAATAACTTTTAATGGTGAGTATTAGGATGGTAAAAAAGTAGGTAGATGGGTGGAAATGGATTTATATAAGGATGAGAAGCGCGAGATTATGTATTAATATTGAATATTTTAATATAATAATTGAAAAATAGTAATTCTAAAAGATGTATTTAAATTGTGTGTGTGAATGAAGCATGTAATATTTTTTTTTGATTTTGGTTGTTTTTAGGTAATTTTCTTGTTGCCATATTGCTTATTTGCTAATCTTCATTTTCATTATGAACTATATCTTCTATGCCATTAATTAAAACATTTTTTTATTATTGTTTAAGTTTCTTAGCAATGACTATATCCTTAAAATTTAGATATCTTTCCAAGAAACAAATGAAGACCTCATATCATAAAAATCATCTCTTATATCGTTTATTTGCAAGTCATACTTATTCATTTCTCCAATTAAATTTTGCCTTCATAATATTCTCTATTTCATTTATTATTTAATTAAATGATATTATAATTATGAAAAGTGTTAATAAAAATGCTATAGTGAATTGAAGTTTTATAGTTTTATAGATTTTGCATTGTTAGACAAAAATAAAAATCATTGAAGAAATATTTAATAATTTTGATTAATTTTCTTCTTATAATGTATCAAATAGTAACTTTTTTCTTAAAATTCTCAATAATAATCGTTTAAAAGTTATAGTGATCAAAATTGTAAGCAGGTTGTTGTTTATTTCCTTAATAATATATAAATGTAAAATGTATGCTTGTGAGTTAGAATGGTGAATTTCTTTAGAAAAAATACAATCTAGAGTTTCTAAATGAATAATATAAAAATTTTGGAACTTATTGTAAATGTGGAGTAAAAAGTGATGATGGATAGTATTTATTTACTTGTGATTCTGAATCAAAATAAATACAAATTAGAGGATATTAAGAACAATAATATATGTGTATAATTTCATATCGACGATATTTTTTATAATATATTTGCCTTACATTTTTTGATATTTCTGGAAAATATGTTTTTGATGTTTAGATCTATTTTTATATACAATTGAGGGGATTTATGAAATTTAGTAATTGTTTGACTTCAAATTTCTGTATGCTATATCTAAATAGTTGGCTATTTTTCGAAAATTATAATTGATTTCAATACTCAATAATATAGATTTTATTGAAATTCAAATATTTTTATCAGACAATTAATCGATTTATTTAACTTGATTTTCAATTGTTACTTTTTAAAAAGTTTTAACCCTAATTTAATAATTATTTTAGTCTTTACTTCTTTTTCTAGCCGGTTTAATAAACTATCTTACTATTGATAAATTCAATACTTAAATATTACCTTCTATTAACCAATCAATTTAAAAATAATTCAAAAAGTAAAAAAAAGTGAATGATTTGAATCTTTAAAGTAAAATCTTTTTTTATATAATTTAACAAATTATGATATCAAAACGAATCTTACGGGCTACAATTACATAAATATAATAATAATTACATAACAATTTGAAGCTATAATGATTAAGATCAGATATAGAAATACAGTGATTGAAAATTCTGATTACCAAACCATAAATAATGTTCCTTAATCAAAAAGTGCTTTGATTTGAAGCGTTAAATATTTATGGAATGTACTAATTAAAATTTAATGGATGTATTGAGATAATAGTTAAAAGACTAAAAGATATGAAAAACTGTTTGTAAATAATTAATAGTTATACTTTTAAATTAACAATCAACCCTTATTTCAAGTTGATAGAGTAAAAAATGTAAAATTAAGTTTCAAAATGGATGATAATTTAATCAATCCTTTCCAATTTCAAGATTTGATAATTTAATTAAAATTTTAAACTAATTGGCTAATTCGAGGTAGGCTATTTGGATTTTTATTTTTTAAATAAAATTGTGTATGATATGATGATTCAATCTCCATATCACCACTATAATCAGATTTAATTTGAATTATAGCTAAAGTTCAATTTTAAATTTCTCAACTACGATAGTAACCAAAGTATTAGTTTAATAATTGCTTATAATGCTTTAATTATTACATATACTACATTTAGAAAATATTATTTTACATTTTCCAAATAAATAGCATCGTATTTCAACTATCAATTCTAATATAATGCATGAACTTTTAGTAAATTCAATTATTTTTGTATGTATTTATCTTAAAATTATTTTTATATTATTTAGATAATTATATTATTTATTTTATTTGAAGAATTGGTATTGATTGTTACAACCCCTATCTTATCTCTTTAACAATTTAAAAGAAATCTATGAATACTTTCTAAATTAAATACTTTTTATGCTTTGAATAAATTAATAAGAAATTTATTAATCAAGTGCCCTTACTGAATTTTTACTAATAATCATTCCATAAATTTAAATGAAATGAAGATTTTCTTTAAATATAGCCTCCATTCTAAAATTTTATTTGATTCTAGAATAAACTCATTAAAGAATTCAAAAGTATTATCTAAAGCCTGATCTCTTAAAGTTTTTTGTAACTCAATTAAACTAATTTTTGAAATTTTTTAGACCTACATGTAATAAATCAATATATTTGATATTTTCTTAATTCTTTATTCTCTTTCCTTTATAAATTCATAGGAGAATCTTATTCCTTTCATATTTATTTATCATTTATATTGTTAAATACTTTTTCAGCATATTTTCATTATCATCTGAGTTTTTTTCATATTAGCAGCTTGAATTTAAAAAATCAATTTATTAAATAAATTTAATTAATGATTTAATAGAAATTTTTTATTTGTTAAAAATGGAACATGAAGGTGAAGATATATAAGGTTGTTCTTTAAATTTGAGTTGCTAAGATTAAAGATCTTAGTTTTGTCTTAAAAATGCAACGATTGATCCTATGAAACATACTAATTGTAAGAAAGACTTAAAAGGATTTGGTTAAATTTAAAGTTTTATCACCAAATTCAATTAGTATATATGTGAATTAACAAATTAATTGAATGAATCCTTTGGATAAGTCAAAACAAAATATGAAGAATCATCAAAATAATTGGATAACTTGAAAGAATAATTATTTAAGTTATCTGATTGTTGAAATTAATAAGTTTATCATTAAGTAAGGATAATTTGCAGTTGATTAAGAAGTGGTATCAATATTAGAATAATAAAGAGAAGATCACTAAAATGAATTACATAGGTATTAGTGAAATCTTTATTTATAGGAAATTCATTATTATTATTTAATAAGAACTATTTATTTATAGAAATATTAAAAGAAAGATTTATTTTTTGGATTTAGACAAAGAATTTCAAGTATTTAATAAGACAATCAAAGCTTATTTTCAAAAGTAATAATATTTGCTTAAATTTTATTAGGAATATAATTAATGTCTCAGATCATGAAAATTAATTGAATACTAAATTAATATAAATTATAGGAGGCTTAAGATCTAATATTCTAATACTTAAAATAAATGGAAAAACAAATATCACTTGCCAAGTTCTTTTTTTATGTATAGAAATATTGAGTTTATTTTGTATGAATCAGCTCGGAAAAGGTAGAGATTAATGATAGCTTATATATAGATATATTAAATTATTCAAAATCAGAATTAAAGATTAAACTGATTTAAGAGAAAAATAAATATATAAATAATTCTTTCAAATTAAGCTTTATTTTAAGAAATTGTTTATATTAGATATTAATTGGTGCTAAGAAGAATAAAAGAAGCTATTGAATAATGTGAAAAATAATCACTAAAGAACCACAATACCTCGATGCTTTTTATTGAAATGGTAATCATTCATATTTAAAAAAAAGTTTTTCTTTTAATTCTCATATTCAGGCTTTGAATTAATATGAACAAGCCATGTAGTGCTTTGATAAAGCACTCTAATTCACTCAAAAATTTTTTATTGCATATTACTAAAAAGCTAACTAAATTTTTTCATTTTAAGGTTATACGCTAAACAAAAAAAGTAACCATAAAGATGCAATTATTTGTTATGATAATGCAATTTAATTGGAACCTATATATCATTATAAAAGGATATCAGTTCGGATAGAGAAGATGATTGATTCATAATATTCATGAGCATATATGAATTAAGGCAATGTTTAATAAACTAAAAAGGTGATTTATTATGAAATATCAATAAAATACAATGATATTAAAGATGAAAAAGTATCAATAACTATTTAAAAGTATGAGCAAGCAATCAATAAATCTTAATTGGATTAGAATGAATTTAAAAGATTAATTTTGGAAAGCAAAAATAAGATATGAAATATTTTTTCATATTAGTTTAAACAATTTTGATTTATGTTATATAACCATATTTAGAGTTGATTATTTCTTTACAAATGAAAATAAGGGCAAATAGAATGGATGTCTATAGAAGGATTTAACTTAAAATATTGTTGTTAAATTGTATCAGTAATGTTGTTGTTAAAGTGATTATATCATTTTTATTTTTAGGAGCTATTTTTAAAGATATAATTGTTTAACATTTATATTAAATGAATAAAATAATTCTTGATATCATTATTTTTTATAACCGCGACTATCACCTTTAGAAGTACAGTAATTAATTATGTAACTTAATTATTATGCAAAAGTAATCATATATTAAATGCTAGAACGATTCTCAACAACATATTAATTAATTTTATTGCAATATAAAATATTCATTTATAAATTAGTCTATTATTTAAAAAAATTGTTTATTGTTCCAATTACTAGTTTAAAATTGTAAATAAATAATATCTAAATTATTAATTTAGTGAGTGATTATATAAGAATTTTTCTATAGTAAGGTTGATTATAACAATTGAATTTTTTTATAAATCAAACAGTCGTGTTTGCAATTACTTCAAATTTACCATTATTTTAATAGAATTAGTTACATTCTAAATATTTGTAAAAGAATCTTATCAATTTTAAAAAGATAGGTTATAATTCAAATCTAATCGATAGATCACTTCTTTAGATACTCGTATATGGGATAGAACTATGAACACATGAAATTAATATTTTTAGATTTCATAGGAGCTATTCATTTTGCATGGAAAAAATAATTAATCTTTCGGCATAAAAAGATAACAACCTTTTAAAAATTATAACAAATAATCAAGTCAGAATTTTTTATGAACTTAAACAAACTAAAAAATCATTAATATAAAACTTAAAAGAAAATTGAATGCTGGGACATAAATTTGAGAAAATAATTTTGTATATATTGATATTAAAAAAATTGAAACAAAAAGAAAAACTAAACTATCCAATTTGAAATAATTATCTTAACATGATGATCTCTTGAAAACTCAATCTTCAATTTCTAAAGGGATGGCTTCCCAAATGAGATTTCAAATTCGTTTCGAAAACAAAAACTGTCACTATATATTCCTTACCTTAATTTAATACTAGAAACATTTGATTCTTGAGTACCATTCTAACTTCCAACTGATAGTTCACATACCACTAGACAAAATAAAAATGATGATGAATGAGTGAAGTTAGCAAATAATTCTGAAAATATTTATTTTATACTTATAACTGATATTTTAGGTTTTTATACCCTTTATTAACTAAAAAAGATTTATAAATAGTGTCAATAAACTCGAATTATAAGTCCATAAAACTAAAAATAAAGACTGAATATATTCAAAGAATCTCATAAGCATATTCGATTTTTAAGGAAGAATGTTATTTCTGATTTAAGAAAAAAAAATAATCATTAAACATATTGAAATAGTATCAAATATAGATTATATTTTATTAGATTGCATTGATCTAAGAATGAAGAAATAAGATGCTTATTCTAAATTAAATTATACTATAATTATCTTTTGAAATTTCATCATAAGTTTTGAGTAGGTTGCCAATTAAAATAGGTTTATTAGTACTCTTAGTTTTATAAGATGAAATAAACCAATAATCTATTATTAAAAGTTCTAACAGAATAAAACAGAAAGGACCGATAAAAATTATAGCTAAATTATATAGCATAGTCAAATAGATTAATAGATGTTCTTTAAGAAAATGTAGCAAAAAAAAAATATAATGCTAATTATAATCCTAATAAAAAGAATTCTCAGCAAAACAATTGAAAAGTTATTTGATGCTCTAATGTTAGATTGAAAACAAAAAAAAATCGAAATTTCATTTTTATAAAAATAAGCAATGTTACTCAATTAAACTTCTATCTTTTTAATAATTTCCAGATCCTTAATTGATATCTTAGATAAATTAATATTTTCTAAGCTTAAAAAATTTGTAAATAATTAAAAAAAAATTTATTTTATTGATATTAAAAAAGGTTTCGGAGAATAATTTAGTATTATGATTACTTTTTTTTTTTGAATATATTTTCAAATTTAATAATAAAGTAGTTAAAGAAAACTAATTGTTTTCTTAATTCTAATATTATTTATTTTTATTTATGATAAATATTTTTAATAAGATTTTAATTCATTTAACATTTACCAACAAAATTAATATCTCAAACTTTTGTAAGAATTGAAAAAAATCAAAAAAATTAATCTTCTTAATTATGTAGATATAAAGAATTATTAATTAATAATTGATTAATTATGATAATCATTCCCTTAGATTTAATTTCTTACTTTGATTAATATTTTTCTGTTCATTTTTGAACTTCATTTTGAATATTATTTTATATCAAAGATGTTATTCTTAACAGATTTATTTTTGGAAATTGTCATCTTAAAATGTTATTGATAAATTCTTTCTACTTTTTTTAGTATTCTTAATTATTTTCTGTATTTATTTCTGCACCGTTAACTATACCTTATAATAAATCATCTTAATCACTATTCATTTATAAAATAATTAATTTTTTTTATTTCTCAAATTATTATTATATTTATAAATAATACTACTTATTTCTATTTAAATATTATTATTTAAAATACTTTCAAAAAATAAACATTAAATCGAGGCCGAAAAGCCTTGTCAAATCCTCAGAACCAGGTTTAACCAGCCTGATCAAGAAATTGTTCAGGAACTTGAGCCTAACCT